TTTCTCTCACTTCATTTACCCAGTTTCTCACTGCACTACAATAAATGAGTCATTTATGTTACTGCTTGACCAATAGATTAAATTCTTAAATTCAGTTCTTAAGGGGGACTCGACTGAGTCATTCAGAGTGGTTTGGTGTGAAATACTCTGTTCTAAAGAAACTTACCGAATCTGAACTGTTCACAGTGGTGGTGATAGGAACCAGACGCCCACCTCTAAAAGCTCCCTCACAGAAAGTTATTATATGAAATGGTTATGAATACACTGCCTTATGTCTGAGACATTGTTTTATGATAGGCCTGTGATTAAGTTTTGTCTTAAAATGTACTTTAATCCATTTATTTTAATCCATTCATGGTGGAAGGATACACACAGAGTGTTGTAAAGCAAAAGTTCACTGGTGGTTTTGGATAGTAAATAAAATGTCTATATTTGTGTTGTAGTCATGGTGACCCCTGGTTCCTATCACCACCACTGTAAAGAAAGCTATATTTTGAAAACTGAATTGCCCTTTAATATGTTATTAATTAGACTTAATAGTCTTCAGTATTTCCCCTTAAATAAAGCAAGACATTTAAAACAAAGATGAGGAAGGTGTTAGTCATTATTAGGCAGAATTCCAGCAATTTCTTGTTGGAATGTTCGAACAGCCCCTCCACCACCCCCCTAGACCATTCACAGCTGCTCCCTGGCATGTGTGCCGGCAAGTGTGAGTGCAGTACTCGTGCACCTGGTGTTAAGACAAAGAGCTCCCCGAAGATACGGACCGCAGGCTCATTTTACACCGTATACTCTAAAAAGGGGGACGTGTTTTGTCTAGACCAAGAGAGCCTAAACATTTTTAAAGAGAGCCAGATCGTACTGTGTCAAAATAGCTGAAGACCAAAATATTATTCAAAAATACATATATCAAAATATGAAGTTTTAAAATATCAGCGCTTAAAATCAGAGCTTTCTGTGAGCTACTGTGTTTTAAAACAGAAGCCACAGGTCGATTAAAATCTGTCTGCAAGCCACATTTGGCCCTGGGGCCGGACTTTGGATGCCACTTTTCTAGACTTTTAACCTCAACATGATAAGGCAGGTTATTACGAGTGAATTCAGTCCTGTTGGGTTACCAGGTAACCTACATTAAGAAAAACAAGGAGAGTCAAATGGCTCAGCAGATGGTTTACAGTGTAAGTGCACCAGTTATAGAATACTGTGGACAGATGCTTATACAGTCACATACAGCACTGCAAAAAAAAAGTCTCTCGTCAAGAGTACTGACCTTAAATCTAATAGATATATATGACAATTCACATATTAAGATTATTTAATTTTTATTATTCATTCTGACATTTTAATTACTTGATTTGATAATTTAAGTCAAATTATCTCACTATATTGGCAGATAAGTTGGTTTGTTTCAAGCATGTTTCTTATAACAAGCAAAACTGTCTGCCAATATAGTGAAATCATTTGACTAAAAACTTGATAACAGGTAGAAAATATAACAGGTAGAAAATATACAGAAATAAGTTAAATAATCTTATAATAAGCCTACAGTGCTCACAATGAGAAATAGTAGACAAATCCACTAGATTTAAGATCATTTCACTTGCCAAGATATCATTTTTTGCTGTGTGTGCAAAAGTCAGAGACACTTCATTTACCTCATCTCCAGAAAAACAATTTATTCATTTTTCAGGAGATACAGTGGGGTCCAAAAGTCTGAGCACTAGTAAAGTGCTTCTATTTTGGATTCCTTTCTAGTTGAACAGAAAGATTTTCATTACAAACTTTATTATCAGCATAACAATTTGAGTGAAAAGCAGAATCTTTGAAATTTTAACATAAATTTTAGAATTTCCTAGTATTTGGTGGTGTGTCCCCCTTTTGGCTTAAAGACAGTGTGCGCTCGAGCTGCATAACCACACAAGTTTGTGCAAAAACCTCTGATCAGCAGATCAAATCCACCTGAGAGGTGTCTCAACACGAGTTTCACTGGAAGAGATCAGACTCAAAACAATCTGACCTTTTAGTACAAACACCTCAACATGATCAATGTCACTAATTTGCTTCAGTTTGAGCAGTGATGTTAAAATTTTAACATTTCTAAAACTTTGTTGTTTATTTCCAAGTTTAAATGAATAAAAATCCCATTTTTTGATATGACTTTTGGACCCCACTGTATGTCTGATGAAAAAGTCAAAGAGAAAATGAGCGAGCTTCCAAAATTGATGGATTAAAAGCTCCGGAGAAAATGAGACTCATAATAACCCCAAAGAGTAGCTCACAGCCGTAAAACTGTGCGAATATCAGGCTGAGCTCAGCCTTGTCAGTATTTTCCAGATAAGCTGAATGTAGTTTTGCTCCAGTTAGTCTGTAAAGCATCTTGTTAGCTGAACTGTATTCTGTTGACTATAGCGTAAAGATGGGCGATATGGGAAAATGTGATATCACGATACTTTATAGTTTTCACAATATATGATAAATCACAATATTTGTTTTTTCTGTCATTTGGTAAGGTGGAACAGATGAAGTAGTGCCACATTTAAAAAATACTATCAAACACACATTGCTGGAGGTGCCGGAGTAGGGTCATTGGGTGGAAGGCAGGAAGCACCCTGTTCAGGTCGTCAGTCCATCACAAAGACACAAACATATACACTCGTACACACATTCACACCTAGGGGCAATTTATGTTCATCTCCAGTTGCCCTGACTGCATGCCTTTGGACTGTGGGAGGAAACCCACGCAGACACGGGGAGAACATGCAAACTCCACACAGAGAAGACCCTGGTCACTCAGTCAGGGAATTGAAACCAGACCCTACTTACTGTGTCCTCTATCAAAACTATGAATCTAATTATTTGCATTTAACATTTCACGCACTGCGCTGCACTAAATCCAATTAAACAGGATTAATTAGGCTCTCTTTGTAATCAAGCATGCAGTCGGTAAGTGTTTTTAAGTACTGACGATATCCATGACATGCTCAGAAAAGCTTATTGTGACATCATTTATTACAATAACGGTAAATACTGACATACTGCCCAGATCTAGATCCTCGTTTCTGAGACATTTTGTTCCGTGATGGACATTTTTGAAGTATGTTTGGTTGTAGTTTGTTTTCTGATTTCAGGAGTGAGAAAATCTAAGTTGGGTCATTTTTTTGGCATTTAGTTCACAAAAAATCGAGAGAATGGCTGGCAAAAGTCCAACATAACACCAACGGTACTGAGCTGATTGCAACACAAAAGGACGATACTTTTTCAGTGGAAGGAGTTGCTGATATTAAAGCACACTGCAGCTGTGATGATCTACTGCAGGGTTTCTCAACCTGTGTTCCACGGACCACGCATTCCTGAACTCTGGGGAGGCAGTAATTCATAGTGGACCAGTAATCTCATTTTAAAGTCATAAAAACTTAAGTGTAAAAAGATTAACTTAAGAATTGAGAAGCGAACGTTTTCAAATTCTAACCAATGTAAGTACCAATAAAACCATCGCACGTCATCAGTTTGAGACAACGCAGCCACAGGTGTGTGATGCAGACAGCTAGCAAGCCAGAGATGGAGAGGTTTCTCAGGGTGCTTTCACATCCACCTTGTTTGGTGTGGACATATCAGACTCTTTCTTTAGTTCGCTCCGTTATGATATTACGTTATGAACTCCACCCATATTCGGGTCGGCAACAGACAGCTGAACCTTGGTCCAGCAAAACCTGTGTGTCTCGGGCCACTTCCAAACAGACCCTGGCTGCTGATGGGAAGCTGTCTATAATCAAACGAGGGAATTCATCAACAAAGCTCGCTTTCCTCTTGTAGCAGCACGTCAGAACTGTACTGTCAGCATAATCTGCGTGTTCTAACGTCTCACTCTTTACAGACACTCATTTGCACTCATTTCTGCACCAAGCCCTGCTGTAAAATAAAACAATAGTGAAGATCTGCGTTTGATTTTAGCTCATGGATCAGAATGTATTTTTGGCCAAGCATCAGTGACGTGAGTGGACCTGTGATTAAGTTAAAATGGATGATCTGATCTTTTTCTGTTTCAGTTTCAGCACTTAAGAAAAGAAACTGAAAACCGTATTTAAAAAGTAGATTTTAGTTTTCCTGTGGGCCGCTATTCTCTGTATTTTTTTAACAGGTGGGCCTTGGGGTAGGAAAGGCTGAGAACCCTTGATCCACTGTACACACAACCCGCAGTGTTCTACTGCTTAAAAGTCAATATTTGTAATAACAGCTCGTTTCGATTGTGCAGACTGTACTGCTCTAAATATGTTCTAGATATACCAGAGCCAAATGAAAAGTGCTAATTATTTTGACCACATTTCTTTAAGGATTCTTTTGTAAAGGCAATGGTTCTATGACCCATGAGTTCCATGATTAAATGGTTCTTTGCATGATGAAATGGTTCTTCAGACTGATAGAGAATGTGTTGTATATGGTTCTACATAGCATCAAAGCTTGTGTGATGTCAAGCTAGTAATTTCTATTGTTACAAGCTTGACAATGTAACAACAGCAGAACCTTTTTGGTGCTACGACACATTCTCTATCAATCTAAAGAACCATTTTACCATACAAAGAACTATTTAAGCAAATATATATAAATAATCTATATAGGACCATTGCCTTTACCAAAGAACCCTTGAAGAAGTGTGTATAGTCTGTATAGTCTTTGTTAGACTGTGCTGTCACCACACTCCCCACAGCGAAATGCAATATGATCTTCAGTTTTTTTTCTTTCTGAGTATTTTTTTGGTGTCTTTATGGTGCTGTGTGATTTGTTCAGAGCTGCAGACTTTTGGCCGTCAGCCACGAAATTAAAACTGCCACCAAAATCTTGCGCATGTCTGTGTGATTTACTGAAAAGCTCTGCTGCGTCGCCCCACGCCGAGACATCAATCAGCCCCAAATGCAGCGTAAAACAAACATGCCCATGGCAGACCGTAAACTCAGAGCAGACCCGCAGGCAGGGCAGTAAACGCGGGTGGAGAGCAGACCAACCTGAACACTCTTACAGGAACTCACGAAGCCCTCAGGCTGCTGAGAGCGGAGCGCCGCGCTGTGTCGGGATGCAGACTGCAGATGTGGACTCCAGAGGCCGATTCCATTCTTTATCTCGAATCTCTGAAGTCAGCGCAGAGAACAGGAGCCTGGAGACTCTCAGCACCGCTGACAGCAACACATCACAAGGGAGATCGCAGAGAAGAGCTCGTTATACAGAATCCTACAAACGGAAAAAGAAAAAACACAGTTAAAGCGGAACTCCCATCAATTTTTTTCAAAATTTCTGCTGAATTAAATGGTTAAGATGCAAAGTCACTTAGAGTGATTACATTATAGTACATCTGTCTCTTTATCTGACATGTTACAGCACATCTGTCTCTTTATCTGACACGTTACAGCACATCTGTCTCCTTATACAACACGTTACAGCACATCTGTGTCCTTGTCTGATATGTTACAGCACATCTGTCTCTTTATCTGACAGGTTACAGCACATCTGGTTCCATATTCCCCATGTTACAGCACATCTGTCTCTTTATCTGACATGTTACAGCACGTCTGTCTCTTTATCTGACACGTTACAGCACATCTGTCTCCTTATACAACATGTTACAGCACATCTGTCTCCTTATACAACATGTTACAGCACATCTGTCTCCTTATCCGACACGTTACAGTACATCTGTCTCCTTATACAACACGTTACAGTACATCTGTCTCCTTATCTGACACGTTACAGCACATCTGTCTCCTTATACAACACGTTACAGTACATCTGTCTCCTTATCTGACACGTTACAGCACATCTGTGTCCTTGTCTGATATGTTACAGCACATCTGTCTCTTTATCTGACAGGTTACAGCACATCTGGTTCCATATCCCTCACGTTACAGCACATCTGTCTCTTTATCTGACACGTTACAGCACATCTGGTTCCTTATCCCCCATGTTATGGCACATCTGTCTCCTTATCTGATGTGTTACAGCACATCTGGTTCCTTATCCCCCATGTTACGGCACATCTGTCTCCTTATCTGATGTTTTACAGCACATCTGTCTCCTTATCCGACACGTTACAGCACATCTGTCTCCTTATCCGACACGTTACAGCACATCTGTCTCCTTATCAGACACGTTGCAGCACATCTGCCTCATTTCCGACACATTACAGCACATCTGGCTCCTTATCAGACACGTTACTGCACATCTGTCTCCTTATCCAACACGTTACAGCACATATAAACTGGAACATTTTGATTAAAAATATAAAAATAAGTTACAAAAACTGCTTTTTAAATGAGGCACAATACATGGCAGCCACTCAGAACAGAGCTCATTTGCATATATCAGTCCTAATTTCAACCTGAAATCAAAATGGACCTTTTTTACCTTGTTAGCTTGTGTCATTGGTCAAATTAAGCACAATCCATCTTGTCATATCATTCAGAAGACAAAATTCTTCTTCCTCTGTAATCTTTGACTTAAGTGTATTGATTTCTGACGCCTCTAAACGGCATCTGATGTTTGGTTCCATCAACTAGTTCCAGCGGAAGGGAAAAATTACACTAACATGCTAACAGGCCAGCCTGCTAACCAGCATTTCGCCTCATCTACGTCTTAAAAAGTAAAGAAAATTTATATTAAAATCAAGCTTTTAACAATTAAAGAATTGTGTTTCAGATACAACAGAAAATACAAATCAAAACCTGGTTATTTTTATTCTTTTGTTTGGCATTTCTGTAAAACAAATGGATTCTGCTGACTCTCAAGGGTCTAAAGAATAAAATCACGCCCCGCCCACAATTGTCTCCTGTCCAAGCAGCCTGTTTTACAAGGAAATACATCACGTTAAGAAAGAAAAATGTGCTCTGATTTCTGACTCATGCTGACTTTAAAGGCACAGCAACTGCTACTTTTGTACACAAAGCCACACAGATGTCATAAGAGCAGCCTCGGGGAAAAAACAAGCGAAAGAAAAATGTGAATACACGGGTAAGTGAATAAGTTCTCATCCTCCCTAACACTCGTCTCCCATTCATCCAGTGTAACTCTATGACTCTCGCCCCTTTCTCTCTCTCAGTGTAAGGTATCTCAGTCAATCTCTCTGACCTACATTCCTGCAGCCACACCAGAGACTTGTGTCAAGTTGTCACCCATCACACCAGACTTTGCCATTTGGCATTTTAATAAATCAATGCGTTTTCTCAGAGCTCATGCACGAGTCCTCGGGCTAAACTATAACACCATATGCTCCACTGACATCAATCACATTTCACAACCGCAAATTCCTTCCTGCGAACACATCTGCCTCATCACACAGCCGGCGGCGGAGGGCCACCCAGGTAACGGCGAGAGGCTCTGTTTCACGTCTGCGGGGCGAATGTCACTGCCATTAGGTATTATAATTATTTTAATGACACACAGAAAGGCTGGTCCTTTCAAATAACGTCAAAGAAGGAAAACAGCCACTTTGATCTGAAAGCTGACACAACATATGATTAGGAATGAGCCTTTTATTGATGCATCGCTGTTCAAACGTTTTCATATACAATCATTTTTGCTATTTTATACACAATAACAACTCCTACAATCCAGATTTACACACTCCAAACTACACAACAAGGTACGTTTTGATGTCCTGTTCAATATTTAAAGTATTTTGGCAGCAACAAGACAGTTTCATGGATAAATAATATCCTGTAATGATCTATTTATAGATTTTTTTGTCAAGTTATCTGCCTCGAGAAGTTCAGGCACTCATTTTAGAACCATCTTAAGCTCTGTTCATCATTCTGTAACATTTCTTCATTTTTTATTCATTTATTTTGTTATGTTTCCACAGAAAATGGTTCTATATGGAGATATGAACACTCAAAGAACCCTTTGCATGATTAAAGGTTTCTTTGCATCACTTCTTTGTTTCTTCAGATTGACGGAGGGTGTGTTTTATACGGTTCTATACAGCACCTTTTTGAAAATGGTTCTATATATATCACCAAAAAGGGTTCTTCTATTATTACGATGTCAAGCGTGTAACAATAGAAACACCCTTTTTGGTGCTATATAGAACCATTTTTATATAGAATCATATAAAACACACTCTCCATGAACCATGAAGAACCATTTAACGATGCAAGGAAACCTTTAGTCATGCAAAGGATTCTTTAAGTGTCCATGGGTTCATATAGACCCATTTTCTTTCCTAAAGAACCCTTGAAGAACTTTTTTAAGTGTGCAGCTTTTATTTATTAACTGATCACTTATCATTTCTAATTATATAAATTGTCTCTTTGCAGCACTTTCGGTTCCCCTGAAGAACCACGTTTAAAAAAAGATAAATGAGTGTGAAGATACTTTGCATAATATATACAGGTTCGGTACCAATTTAGGGGTTCTTTCCAGAGCGTTTACACTATGTTGAGGTTCTTTAAACTTGACACAATTATTGTTGGATGCATGATAAATAAAGTAATAAAGGCAGCCTAACCCTAACCCTAGATCCATTTTACTGACCAACATTGATGGGCACGCTCACCAAATACTCTGGGGGCAGAGCTTAACCAGTTAAACTGTTAAAGTAGTCAAACACAAACACAGTGAATAGATCGCTGGCAAGACATGAGGTCTGATAGAGTTAAACAGTGTCACAAAACAGAACATAATAAAATATAAAAATGCCCAAATATTTTAATAAGCAGTTTGGTAGCACTGTAACAGGCCATAATAAACAACAACTTCAAAATGGTAACTTTAAAAGAAGGGTGCAAGAAGTGAATAATGAATGAAAGTGAGGGAGGAGAAAAGATGACAGGAGAGAGAGAGAGAGAAAGAGAGAGAAAGAGAGAGAGAGAGAGAGAAAGAGAGGGAAAGGGGAATACACAGCTGTGCACATCTGCCAACTATGTGCTGACGCTGTTCCAGCAGCCTTTAATCTAGGACACACACACACAAACACACACACACACACACACACACGCACACACACATTCACACACACACACACACACACACACACACACACATACACGCACACACACACACATTCATGCTTTATGAGTCTGAATAAACTTCTGAACCTTCTGAACAAAATTCAGAATAATAACCTAAAATTTTCAACAACCTAAAATACTGAACAAAAATTTTGAATAATCTAATATTTGGAATAAAATCACTCGGTTTGGTGCTGACGATGGCTGTTGAGCTCAGAGTTTGGGGCTGATGGTTGTTGGGCTCTGGGTTTGGGGCTGATGATGTTTTCGGGGCTCTGGGTTTGGGGCTAATGATGGTTGTTGGGCTCTGGGTTTGGGGCTGATCATGGTTGTTGGGCTCTGGGTTTGGGGCTGATGATGGTTGTTGGGCTCTGGGTTTGGGGCTGATCATGGTTGTTGGGCTCTGGGTTTGGGGCTGATGATGGTTGTTGGGCTCTGGGTTAGGGGCTGATGGTTGTTGGGCTCTCAGTTTGAGCCTGATGATGGTTGTTGAGCTCTGCGTTGGGGCTGATGATGGTTGCTGAGCTCTGGGTTTGAGGTTGATGGTTGTTGGGCTCTGGGTTTGGGGCTGATGATGGTTGTTGGGCTCTGGGTTTGAGGCTAATGATGGTTGTTGGGCTCTGGGTTTGAGGCTGATGATGTTTTTTGGGCTCTTGGTTTGGGGCTGATGGTTGTTGAGCTCTGGGTTTGGGGCTGTTGGTTGTTGGTGAGTTTTCAGTGTGGGGTGGGACTGTGCGATGATAAGCTTCTTATGTGAGAGCTCAGGCTGTGATTAACATGAGTTATCTCTGAGGGATGACCCCTTTTCATTCAGACACAGACCACAGGCAGCACAACAGTAAAATCCACACAAATACAGTCTACAGATCAAGAACTTGTCTCTATTATTGCATGAAAAAGTCCCTTTAGCTGAAAATATCAATAAAATTAATATATTTAATAGAGGTGGGAATCGCTAGGCAACTAACAATACAAGTGGATTTTTGATTCAGAGTATGACGATGATTATAAAACAATTCTCGATGAATCTCTGTCATAACATAGCCCATAGACATATATGCTTTTTAAAATGAACCGATTTAATAAATATACTTAATAACTGAGTAACAACTTGAACATGTGCATTCATGCCTGTTTCTTCATTTTACATGATACGCTAAAGTAACTTGCATGCTTCTTCCGACTGCAACCTGTGCTCTTGTAAATGAGCATAGTCCAAAACCACGTCCA